ATCAAAATACCAAAGAAAGGCTACCTGAGCAAGTGTGAGAACTACAGAGGGATCACTCTTCTTTCATTAACAGGCAAAGTCTTCAACAGGGTATTGTTAAACAGAATGAAGGATTTCGTAGACGCCCAACTTCGAGATCAACAGGCTGGATTTCGTAAGGATCGATCGTGTACTGACCAAATTGCTACATTACGGATCATTGTGGAACGATCAATTGAATGGAACTCGCCACTCTTCATCAACTTCATCGACTACAAGAAAGCATTCGATAGCGTGGATAGGAAAACACTGTGGAGGCTTCTTCGACACTACGGTGTGCCTGAGAAGACAGTTAACATCATACGGAATTCTTATGATGGATTCAACTGCAAAATAGTACACTAAGGACAGCTAACAGACTCTTTTGAGGTGAAGGCCGGTGTGAGACAAGGTTGCTTACTCTCACCCTTTCTCTTTCTCCTGGTGATCGACTGGATTATGAAGACTTCAACATCTGGAGGGAAGCACGGTATCAACTGGACAGTTAGGACGCAGCTGGACGATCTGGACTTCGCAGATGACTTGGCTCTTCTATCTCACACTCAACAACAAATGCAAGAGAAGACGACCAGTGTAGCAGCAGCCTCTGCAGCAGTAGGTCTCAACATACATAAAGGAAAAAGCAAAATTCTCGGATGCAACACAACATGCACCAACCAAATCAATCTTGATCAAGATGCCTTGGAGGACATTAACACCTTTACATATCTGGACAGCATCATCAATGAGAAAGGTGGATCCGATGCAGATGTGAGGGCGCGGATTGGCAAAGCAAGGGCTGCATTTCTACAGTTGAAAAATATCTGGAACTCCAAACAACTTTCAACCAAAACCAAAATCAGGATTTTCAATACAAATGTCAAGACAGTTCTACTGTATGGAGTGGAAACTTGGAGAACTACGAAAGCCATCATCCAGAAGATACAAGTGTTTATGAACAGTTGTCTACGCAAAACACTTCGGATTCGTTGGCCAGACACCATCAGCAACAACGAACTGTGGGAGAGAACAAACCAGATTCCAGTGGAGGAGGAAACCAGGAAGAAGCGGTGGAAGTGGATAGGACACACACTACGAAAAGCACCTTACTGCGTCACAAGACAAGCCCTCACATGGAACCCTCAAGGTAAAAAAAAAGAGGAAGGCCAAGGAACACATTACGCCGAGAAATAGACAAAGATATGACAGGAATGAACAAACATTGGACAGAACTGGAGAGAGAAGCTCAGGACAGAGTTGGTTGGAGAAAACTGCTGGGCGGCCTATGCTGCATTGGGAGTAACAGGCGTAAGTAAGTAAGTAAGTGTGTCCATCATTGTTCCAGTTGAACTTATGTCCATAATTGTCCGTATATGTCGATATAAGCGAAGAATTGTCGTGGCGTCTGACCGCTAATTGGCATTCACATAAACGAAGCTGAAGAGGACGTCCACTTTGTCCTATGTAGTGTCTTTCACAGTCTGAGCAATTCATTTTGTAGATGATAAGTGGTTTTTAGTCTTTTTTCATTTCGTCTTCTGGTGTTTACATAGGACTGATTGAAGTAATTGTGATGCTTAGAAGTATATGAATCAAGAATTAAAGATATGCACAAACGAATGTATTGTATTTAGAATTCGAATTCAAGCATTTCACAAAAACAAGAAGTTACTAGTTCATTCAAACACCATATCCGCCACAGCTTAAATTGGAATGTATATGTCTGTAATCAGTTGTACGTCTTCTCCTCAAATTCATCCTGTGTCTGTCCGACAGTGTATTGGATAAAGGCTCTGTATTATCTAGAATGCTCTCATTAGTATTAGAATGAACAACCGAAATTGGAACAGACTCACCTGGCTCTTGGAATTGTATTTGATCAACATGTCGATTGTGTGTACTTAAGTCATTGATATCTAGAAGTCGCACCATAGATTTCCCGACATTTTTCTGAACGATCCCCGTGGATGGTCGAAGTTCATTGCCACGATAATATGTAACTTCTGCAGACTCCAAACATCTCATATTCGACCGAAGAATTCTTCCTTTTAATAGTTTTGATGGAGTCTCTTTCGTCACTGAATGTCTGGCATTTCTATATTGCAGTAGAAAGGTATCTACTCCCCTCTCCAGCTCATTAAATGTTGAGGCGGCAATAGAATCAATAGCAGTTTTCATACCTCCACTGCACTTAGCACACGTGGCTATCGAATCTTTAAGTAAAGCATCAGAATTTTCTTTAGAAACTAGGAAAGACAACTCCACTTTAAGTCTTCTCAAATTCTTTAAACCCAGTATTGACAGTCCTGTTTCACTAACTAAAAATTCACAAGGTATATATGAGGAATTATCATCTCTTATTAGCAATTCACAACATCCTCGTATAGGCAGTTTGTGTCCAGTAATCCCCAATATTGATACATCAGTGGGTCGTATCACAACGTTCGGATCTAACGATTTCAGGTTCTTGAATGAAATAATGGACTCTATACTTCCTGTGTCCACAATAAAGTCATGAAATGAACCAAGTGATGTACATAGTCGCTTTTGAATATGAGCATTACCTTTCGAAATGGTAGTTAAAGATAAATGATCATTAGGATCAGCTGAATTATTGGAATCTAAATTACAAGCTTTAGCACTACTTGAGGCAAAATGAACAGTAGCTTTGCATACTGCTTGAATGTGCCCTATCTTACCACATCTAAAACATTTAGCATTACGAAATGTACAGTAATAACGAGAATGAAGTTTTCCACATGATAAACATTTGCCAAACTTGGTCTCACCTTTTTGATTTCCTTTGTAATTCTTTTTTGAGACCCCGTTCATTTTTACACGAGAATAGGAACCTCTGTTAAATGAACACAATTTTGATTGACCCTGAGATTGCTTTTCATCATGACAACTAATCAAAGTATTGGAAATCTTCATCGACTGAATATCAAGTTCATTCAACGCCTCGTAGTTGATGCACGCAGTTCTAACATCTTGAAAGGAACAGTTTGACATTCTTAACAGCTCTCTTTCCAAACTAGGTATGTTAATTCCTGCAATTAATCGGTCTCTCAGCTGCACATTAAGTTGATCACCAAAATTACATTTGACAGCCTGTTTCTGCAATTCAAGAATGAATTCCTTAACATTTTGGTCATTTTGACGAATCATCTTATGAAATTTCGCTCTTTCACGGCATTCAAAACCAGGGCACTTCACATGATTCAATAATAACTCCTTAAGCATTGCATAGGGAAGTGAAATAGGTTTTTCTGGATATGCCAAGGTTTTCAATAAGCTGTACGCTTCTTTTCCGATAAATGTTAGGAAATGAGCCACAATTTTATCATCTTTGACATCTTTCCTGGTCATACTCCAGATTTCAAACCTTTCCAAATAATCTTCAAAAGCTTCAGAAGTAGAATGAATATCTAGCTGTTCCATTACAAGTTCCATCGCGACGCCACTGTGATGCTTAGAAGTATATGAATCAAGAATTAAAGATATGCACAAACGAATGTATTGTATTTAGAATTCGAATTCAAGCATTTCACAAAAACAAGAAGTTACTAGTTCATTCAAACACCATAGTAATTCTGTTGGATTTTCTGTCACATCTATTCTAAATGGTTTTATTATTTGTGCTGTATGTCCCCTGATGTCTTTTATATATGGTAGGATTATCCGTTCATTAGTTTCTGTACTATATTTCTCTTCTGTTGACGGTTTCATTTGATGTGTGTTTTGATGAAGTTGCATGGATAGCCATTCTTTTAGAAGATAGTCATAAGATGCTAATCCTCGTTAGGATCAAGAAACAGATCAAAATGGAGTTACAATGAAAACAAAGGTGCAAACAACGACAGGCATAAGGTCATCAGCAACTAATCAAGATCGAGGTTAACAGAACACGTTAAGGGTCGAAAGTGGAGAAATTTCAACACTTCAGCTCTTCTATCTGAAGTTTGTGCTGATGGTATTATGTTCAGAAGCAGAACAATGAAAACTCCACAGTCAAAACATCCAGCTCAGAGAAGGAAAAACCACCACAATCAACCACTTGAGCTGGACATTTTCTCCACGATCTTCTATTATGTGTACACATGTGAAGAAAATTTTTGAAAACCTGTCGATATGATGATATTAGTAAGGACAAACGCTCACAACGCAACTCATAATAAAATAACATTTAAAATAATTCAACAGGACACGATCATTTCACCTGAAATTATGCTTGCGAATGTGTAGAGGTTCATTATTAAGGCTACAATTTTCAAGTTTACACATCTTTACGCATTCATCGCATATTGGACAGATCAGAATTTAGATCAAATTCTTTAAACTAACCTTTTATTAATTGTTTCAGTCAACCTGGTGTCCTATCGAATTTTGATTGAATAAAACTCATTCTAGTTGATGTTATCAGGAATCAAACTATTGTTGACTTACCAACAAACTTATATTTGAATTATATCGTTGCCTCGATAAAAAGTGGCAACTCAATAGAAATAAACTACAACGCATAAACTTATTCCCTCCCCACTGATGATATATACTGAAATATTTTATGAATTGTAAAAATAGTCAAGTCAAAGGTATTCATTGTTTGAGTGCACGTAAAATGAAGTGGATATTGATCCATAATTATGATTAAATATTTTTAACTCATATAGAAATAACTATCTGTAGAAATTTTCTGAATCTTTTGAATAAGAGTCTAGAATGATTCAAATTAGATTAAAAAAAACAATATGTGTGTGTGTGTAAGTAGGTCAGAAGTTTGTATTTGTCTGCAATTATAATATATATACGTATTTGCTAATTAGTAGTAAACTATAAAGGGAAACTGTAAATATTTATATATATATATATATAAAGCTTACCACTCAACATTATTATCTGTACACTCTGGTTAAGTTGATTTAAATTGATCTAAAAAAGACCGAAATTTCTTCAAAAAACTTAAAAAATTATCCATCATTAGAATGATAATCAATTATAAACTATTCAAATCTACTGCTATCCTCTATCGTCTGGCAATTCTCATTGTCCTAGTGATAATATCAATATTCGGTTATCGATATTTTCATCCAGATGAAACTTTCAACATTGTTAAATTGTTAAAATTGCTCAAATCTCTCACTGTGATCTCATTGGTAAGTAATGAATTTCCTCGAAGAATTCATATTACTAATACATTGAATTTTTCATCATAGGCTTTATCGATTGTGTATTTTGCTACGATTACATTGTTTCAATGTATTAGAGGATATAAAATACATGGTTACTTTTACATACTTGCGCTTACATACAGTTGGGTAAGTGATGTTATCTTTCTAAACTTTGATGAATTTTGAACAATGAATTATAGGTAGCAATGTGGATGTATTGGTTGGTACTTGCAGTGTATCCAAATATATTATTTTGTAATCAAGAACTGAGTAATTTACCATTCTGGTTCAATCATATGAGTGTAAGTCATAGAAACAATGTGTGTAATATTTGCCTTATCAATTTAAAATTAATGTATTTTTGTAACAAAGTATCGAAATACTCTTGGTTATATGGATAAAAGTTCAGTTGTTATGATAGCTTCGCTTGATTCATAATTAATGGTGATACCCGAAAAGGTACGCAGAGAATTCGATCAATAAACACTGACTGGAATGATTATTTTGGGATTCGCTATCGGATATTATAATCATTGGACAGTTCTAATAGCTCAATAATCGAACTCATCTGAGTACATGGGTAAATAGTTATTCATTGTATATTTGTGTTTCATAATCACTTAGAAATACCATCAGGTATCAGTCAGTCAGTCAGTCAATCACTTACAACAGAAAACTTCGTACATACTTACATCGGTTCAGGTTGCCATAACACACTGGTAGAAAGACACTATTGTCAGCTTAAATCCCATGGTGGTTCAAATAGTAGAAGTATTACTAGTAATGGAGAAGATTAGGGTTCCAAGATATTATTTAAGAAGTATAATTCAGTGAGATAAATTTAGAAAGCGAACAATAGAGATGATGTGGAATTCAATTAGGGCATATAAGCTGCTACTTGTCATTCATGTCAGACATTATAATACTTTTAAAGATTGATTTTATTGTGACAGATGTTCTGACCCCATACTGTGATCAGTAGAATCGACCCGTTATTAGGAATCGGGTGCTAGGTAAGAATGTCAGATCAATAGACGCAGAAGTGACACTTCATCAGTTGAGGTGGTGGGGACATGTGTTGCTTAACCACCAACTGCCTCGTCGAGCTTTGTTTTGTAGTGTAGAAATAGGTTGGAAGAAAGTTAGGGGCGGCCAAACCAAAACATGGCAGAAATCCATGAAGTCATTGACGAGTCGACTTAGACATGTCGGTAATTGTCGACTACCAGGTTGGGGTCCGCGAGATGATAATAATCGATGGTTAGAGACCTTGAATGACATGGCTCAAAATCGTTCGCAATGGCGCCGGTGCATTTAATCTTTGTGTTCTCTCAAATCCTAATCTTCTGGGTTCTTCAACAGCTCTAGTTTTGACTTTCTAAACTTTTCTCACTGAATCACATACTTCTTGAATAATATCTTCTAATCCTAACCTCCTCTCCGATTACTTCTAATACCTTTACTACCTCTTCTACTATTGGATTTGAATTGACAATCGCATCTCTGTGCTGATGTGGTATGGCGACATGAAATGATGTACTTACGTACGAAGTTCTACGTTGCATTTGACTGACTGACTCTGAGAATCGATCCGTATAATTGCGGGACCGATGATGTGCGTATTCCCATATCAATAGTTAGAAGATCAAGCTGTTGAATATTACTTTCCAACCAAGTACTTCAATATGAGAAGGCGAAACTCGATTGCTGTACATTTGAAGCCATTTTTGATTTTAGGGTTCTGCCTTATGGCAATGATGAATTTTTAAACACAGTATTATATTCAACTATGGTATCCTGGTCTATAACGGTTCTGGTAATTGAAGTCACATCGTAACAAAACGCTTACTGGAAATCATTTGGAATAAGCATACGAATGTTATCGTTCTAGGGTGAACGGTTGTTGAACGGTTAATGTCCGATTGATATTTTAATTGGACTGACAAAAATTAATTCTACTTTTCTTTACTTTATTTTTGAAGAACTTATTATTGCCAGTGATAATGATGATTGAAGCTTTGCTATGGGTACCAAGACCAGTTAGACTTCGATATTCCATTCTGCTAAGTTGTGCTTTGGTGTTGATTTACAATATTGTGTAAGTTGATTTCGTTCATATTAAAAATATATTCACATTTACTAATCACGTCACTAATCTTCTACTGAAGAACAGTGAACAGATAGATATTCATGCATATTTCTGGTGATTTCAACGTTGTGTTAGTTGAGTGGTTAGATAGCGAGTACTCTAATCCATTGTACATGAACAAATGCTTCTGTGGAAGTTGTATTGCAGTGAAGGAGAACACAGGTGAGGGCAACCGAATTGTATTTAACGAAAATTACAGAGTTACTCAGTAAAATAGGAAAACCATATCGTAAATCGTTCATTTGCAAAATATCAATCTATCATCAATCCATTGTCTGACATTTCACTATTCATGCGTTTCATACAAATTCCATTGTGTTCCCACTATTTCTTTCTTCTTGATCTTGACCCATCTTCGGCTGCCAGACATTACGTTTTCACTCGCGTCATATACTACTTATAAGTAGCGCGCACCACAGTAGAACAAATCTGATGGAGTTGAGAGAGAAAGCAACCTTACAAAGAGTTTTATACATTATATGTTAGAATCAAAGTACATTTGACAATTGTCAATCGATTTTCGGATAAATTATATTTATATCTATCATTTTGAGTAAGTAGTTTCCGTAGGTAAACAAAGACTGCTCACTTCAAAATGAATCTGAAACAATTTGAGAATATCACATTTGATTGACAACTGTTAGTAATCGGTGTATGTTAAGTTACAGTTTTATTTGAATGTCAACAATACACTACTATTCATGCTTTTGATCATTTGCTCCCTTCATTATTCAATGAAATAAGTTCATTTATCATGCTTCATTCATAAGTTACTGTTTTTATCCTATTATTTCATTCAAATCTTTCAACCGCTTTCTTTTCTTTCACAGTGTTGAAGTTCTACACGTGAAATATGAATATACTCTGTATCCTCATATGGAAAAAGTACATGGCATTCTACGTTATCTGATTTATATAGCCATTTGGTTGTTTGTAATCTTAGTAACTTATCTGTCAAATTTGTATGTTCGTTTAGTGAATTACTATATAAGAAGATTAAAAATATCACCAGAATATTAAAAATGTAAATGATTCACACGATAAGTGAATAATACTAATTTTTATTCTAATTTCATTTCATTCAAACAATACTTCTGTTTGAAATATTTGAAATGCTTTCCAGATCTGATTTAAACAAAAAAAGGTTATTTATTGTAATATTTCTTCCAGTATATATAATCTAACCTACAGTTAATGCTGAATAGTTTTTATTTTCATCTCTATGGAAGTTTTATTTCTTGTAAATATATTTGTTTCATTCCAAACTCTTTGTCTTCTTAATTTATCAACAAATAATAATAGCTAATTTCATTGCAATCAATATGTCATTTATGATCAAATCATCTGTTTGACGATATCATCTACCACAAATTTGTAACTGAACATCTTTCATATGCATAGTCTAAATAATAATTTGAGTTTTACTAACATTATCATAGTGATATTGAATCTAACGTCATCCATAATTTCAGTCACTAGATTTCAAAGCATTATTCTTCGATGAAAAATTGGTCATAATGATTTCCAATATCCAATATCCAATTTTTTTTCACGAGCTAGTGAAAACCAGTTTGATTTCTTCACGCTCGATTCTTGTTCTTTCGGTAGGGTTTCCAGTGTTCGGTAATGTCCAATAGATGGAGGTCTAGCCACTCGACTGTCTAATTCTAGTCAGTTGGCAGTTGGTCGTGAGTTTGTATGTCTCGGGATTTGAATGAAACGTTTGTTTCAGGGCAGTAGGGTTTCTGGATACTAGCAGCCGTCACATTACCAAACCGGAGATCAGTTAGTTGCAATGTGGAGAGTAATAAAGGTATTAAGGATAGAATTAAAATGATAACATGAATAAAATTTCAGAACTATATATAGATGAATAATAATAATAATAATAATATATAGATGAATTTAGTTTGTTAATTGGTAGTGAGGATTGTGAGAAAGGACCGAATTGTAAGCAAGGGAGAGGAAACAGAGATAATAGGCGAGATAGATTAATTGAGTGATCTGAGAAGAGTGCAGTAGTAAAAACTAGCAGGTCTCAAGATATGCATCATGAACAGCATGTCCAAGAGGGAGATGACAGTCCGTATGTGAGTACGTGATTATCAAGTCTCTTCCTAAAACAGTCGACTGAGGGGGCTGTAACTACCTCGGCTGGGAGAGCGTTTAAACTTGCGACGACTCACAATAAGAAAACGTGTGCACGATTCTGAGTATTCGCTCTTTGATGTGTAATCTTTCGAGGATGTCCTTGAGGGGAGTGGTGGTGATGCATCGGTAAGATGCTCACATTGGGATTACTAATTTATTGATTGTGATATGCTCGTCAATTGATATACTTGAAATATATATATAACGAGTTCACTTTACTCGGTAAAAGGAAGTGAACACAAATGATCCAGTGACACGATAGGCTATTCTGATTCGATTGTCCTTGGCCTTGATGAAGATATCAAAAAGTCTTGATATGGTGTAGAAAGTGTGTTCTACAAACACCCAGAAAATATGAGGTTTACAGGCACACAAACAGAGTTTATTTATGCATGATAGAAGCGTACCATGATAATACATCAACCATCTGGGTGGGAAATGTAATTTTAAGATCATCTGAGGAGTTCATGCGTGAAAGCATGAAATGCACCTTTATCAAGCAAGCTCTGAGGATCTAACGTGCCCAGAAGATTGGTAGGATCAAAATCTTCCTTTATTTAGAAGCTTATTGAGCAAAGTATAATGATAAAGATGCTGATGATGATAACTGCCTCATCATAGTTTACGACCTGTCAAAATACTTAAACTAATGAGTACATTTTAACTTCATCAATGTGTATTTGACACATCAATCAATTGTGAATAAGAATTCAACAACAATATTTATTGATTAAACGTTGGTTCTACTTATCATAAAAAACATGTAATCAATTTGTTGTTTGAAAACCCCGGTTGTTCAAAAGCGTCTTGTAATCGAGTTGATTGTGAATGATAATTTTTCATCCAACACAACTGATAGAATGCGTAAATGTAATAAAATTCACTCTTGTTGCATACTACTCGTAGCGTCGTTTCTAAGTAGTATGTAGCTTATTTACCAAATGAATGCAAACATTCAATCTTTTAAACACTTTGTGGATGTCAAACAATTCGATTTTTATTTGTTTTTATTATTTTATTGAAGAGAGTAGAAATTATTGAAACTTCAATCGTTGAGATTATCTCACGACTAATTTTTATGTATGAACAATTTTCCAGCATAGATTAAAAGTGTTAATTTTAAGGTTAAAACATAATTTTCAATTAAATTAATCGATAGAGAGATGTACAATGAAATATGTATGGTAACGTTCTTAGACGGTATCAGATTGTGACTAATGCTAATATTTACAGAGTGCACTTCTTACAGTTCATCACGCTGTAGTGAGTCGAGTTATCAAAGTTGTCAAAGCTCGGTAATTAGCTCGTCCAGACAATCGTTACTAACTGGCGTTTGACGGTTTATAAATCAGAAGGTGGACATAAAGTGTTGAATACGTTTATTTTCAACACACCACATATAAAACAGCAGACTACAAGCGCTATAAGGTAAAATCGTCATACGAGCGCCGCAAAGCAGTCAAACGAGTGAATTGGCGAATGAACGGATGAAGATGTGGAGAAAGCTAGTGAGGCAACTCCCACGATTACAATGCAAACAAAGCAAATGAATAGGTGAAGCGCGTTGGAGAAGGCTAATGAGTCAACTCAAAGAGATAGAGCTTGACTAGGAATATATAGTCAGACAAATATAAGGCAGACATGCGACAAGCGAAATAGGCACACATGAATAAAAGCGACGAATAGTTGACAAGGTTAAATGACAAGTGGGACACGTCATGTCAGCTCATACAAAGCAGACAATAATAAGAACGATTGGTACATATAAATTGTTGCAATACAAATGGCTTGGTTAAATAAAGTAATCTAAAAGGCTTAACCAAATCAAATGTAAGCGAACTGGAATATATATGGAGGCACTACAACGTTTTAAACCCGACATCTCTTCCCCACTGCGTTGATGTTTATGCAAACAGTGTTTAAATGTACTGTCGTGTGACCGAGTAAGTGATTTGTTTTTGATTATTGACGTATTTAAATGATGAATTTCAAAAAAATTGTCTTGCTTCATGGTTATTTTGATCGCATTCTCTATTGATCCAACTGTGACCACAGATATTCCCGAGATGAAGAACATACCTTTGTCGTTCAACAATATATGTGTAAGTTAAAGACGAATATTGCTTTCATTCAAAGGTTTATATGTCATGATTATACGTGTGCTAATACATGTGGATTTGTTGGTCAGCACTTGTGATCATTGGATCAAAAGTTTGAAGCATTGAACATGGCAAGCATTCATGTGCATAACGACACACCCAGAAGTGCAAATCTTCAAGTCGGGTTAAGGCTATCCTAGATACGTATGATCATTATTTTCGGAATCAAACTTCATATAGATTGTGAACTGATGTGAGTAATGTAGACATTGAGTTGTTTCAACCTCACTACAGCGACCAAACGGAACTCAACACGTACATACACATGAAAAATAATTTTTATATCACTTGAATCTCACATTAATTTGCCAGCTAGAATATTTCATCTGTCCTGGAGATTGTCTAATAATACAGTCATATTTTCCAATGAGAGAGTGATTCAGAGCCGTTGATAGTATTCCGAAATACACACTTCATTCTTTATGAAGAAAAATGATCTCTCGTAATCAGTATTGGTCTATCGCAGACCCATTGTTTATCCATCTAATGGTAATTGATAGTCTTATTCAAGTTTCAGTATAAACTACAGTCACAGTAAGTGTTTTCATCTGTTTCAGTGGTATGGTTACTTAAATACTTATTGTTATCTGATCTTCTCGATCGCCGCATACCACGCCAGCAGTTATAATTCTAATAGAAGCGTTCATATGTCGACCGAAACGTGTTATACTGTGGAAATCACTAATTGTTTGTTATACGGCGACGATAGTCGTTAATGGAGTAAAACGTTCTTTCAATGTTATCGATGACACACATCAACTAAATATCACACTTTAGTGATGAATACACAAGCTTTAATTGACTCATTCCTCATTCATGAATACTTCATCTTGAACATAGTTTATCGAGAATAAATGGTATCAAGGATATCCGACATGATCATGCACTCGACAATACCATGACGTTTTCACATGGCTCAAGAAATTTTCAGTTCAGGTAGATTTATGAACTTGGCAGTTTTGTCTGTACAAATACATCCGCATGCTTTGTTACACCAGACAGTCTGAAGGAACAAACTGAAATTATGATTTCAACTATAAAAATAGTACAATAAAATATATAACCTTCTCACATGACTGACAATCACGTGCCTTATTAGGCCAAGCTTCATCATATAATGCTATAGTAATTGTGGGTAGGAGATAGCGATGCAGCGCAAGCAATAGACTGAGCTTCCACGACATCGTCGACTGAATATAGTCAGAAATTTATAAATTTTGGTTTAAGTGTTGGCTTCACTATTGTGGCAGGGAATAAAACGACTTTCCAAATGATTGTAAAAAGAGAAAGCGACGCTCGAGGTTAAAACATGCCCAAAACATCACCCAATTTCATGATACATCACCCCACAATCAATATTTAAGGCAGAAAGCCAAATGGAAGACCGAAGAACACTGTGCGTAAAAAAACGAGATGCAGACAGCAAAATGAATGAACACGATTGGGAACAGGTTGAAAAGACAGTCGAGAGCAGAGGTTATTAGAGATTGCTTGTCTCCGGCCTAAGGTCATCCATTGTTTCCAGGTTTCAAATGGTGGTCTCGCTTCTTATAAAATTTAAGAACAGTATGAGGATATACCAATCTTTTGTATCCTGAATACTAGAATAACACTCAGTACAACAAAGAACTTGATGCGCATGTATTTTTGTCAGAGTCTGGTTATACACGTACGATGTTCAAGGTATTTCAGATAAAAACCATTGAACTA